CCCGTCAGGCCAGGGTGTGCGGGGAGGGCTGCACACAGTGGGTCTGCTCTCTGTGAGCAAATACACAGCTGATGGGGCGGGAAGGCAGCAGCTCCACGAGGACCATGGTTTTCTGTAATTCCTGTACGGGCCTTGCTAATTATAACAGTTTTCCCGCAGGTCCATGGCCGTGGCTGCATTGCCTCTTGGTCTGGCTGGCTCCCTTTTTCTGGTTCATTCTGTCCTGGCTATTTTGGTTGCAGAAGGTCAATGCCAGCACTGTCAGGGCCAGTGGAAATGTGTTTGGGGAACAAAAGGAGATAGAGCATATGCCCCAGGACAAAGTAAAAGAAACTGTCCGGAGTGAATTAGTTCCCTATTTCTTCTCTTAGTGAAAGGATTGATCTTGGAAAGGTCTCATTTTGTTTCATTTCTAAATAATGCTTTCTCTGTTGTCAGTGGGGTTTTTTATTTGGTGTGGGTTGGGTTTTTTTTGGTTTTGTTTTTTTTTTTTTTTGTTTTTTTTTTAAATCAGCAAGAATATTAACCACTAAAGTGAAAAAACATGTGTTTAGGAACCCTGGAAGAGAGTATTTGACTTTCTGAAAATACACAACTCTTCCCTGGGTTTGTTTGGGATATTTTCCCTTGAGTTTAGTTTTTACTACTCCATCCCTAGATTGTGTGGAGTTCACATCTGTTTATCTTCACAAAGGAGAAACCTATTACTACATGGAATACCAGCAGTTGCATCTTACTGTCGGTGCAGCATGCAGGTAGTGTTGGTAGAACCTATCAAGAGCAGGTAGACACTGGAGCCTCTTTTGAATAAATTCTCAGAGGTTATAAAGAACAGAAGACTAAGCTATTTGGAGGACAGATTCCAGTTGGGTTACAAGGTACATGAATGACACCTATTCACTTTTCGGGGGGCAATCAGTCTGAACTGCCTAACTTCAGAATGAGGTCTTTGAGTCCAACACAGGCTTCTTCAAAGAAGCAGTGATGAAACCTCATTTCCATACCTGGCTCTGTCTCTGTTTATGAGGTTATATTCTACCTACAGCTGGAAGAGTTTTATGTAAAAAAAAAAAAAAAGCTGAAGGAAATAAATCAAATTAATGGCTTATGTATTGCAAAAGAGAAGTAATTCAGAGGAAGTTTGTGCGCCTGGCTGACGTAACTTTTTAGTTCAAACTAAATGGTTGTAAAATATATATACATTTCTGTGTATTAACAAAATGTGGAGTCACGGGAGACAAAGCATAGGAGATGTCTCTAAACTGGTGATTGATGTTATATTTATCTTCTGGTCTTGATCTGAGAGCTGGTGGCCAGATCCTTCCACAGCCATCTATTCATTGCTCTCGTTGCTAGTCCAACATTCAGATCCATCAACTCCTCTACATCTGTTCACACTGATCTCAGCTTTCCCTTCCTTTTTCTTTCTTCTGTGATTCCTTTTCTTAGCAGCCCATTTCTCTTTAAAATGGAGGTCCTCAATTTTTTGACTCCTTTCTGAATTATGCTGTCAAATTTGCTTTCTGTAGCTGGTCTTCTCTGCTACCCAGCCTTGTCTATGTGTGGAAGTTTGTGTCTTCATATTTTTCCCCCCAAGTGTCTAGAGATTCATAACTGCTAAAAAGGAAAAAGCATGGAAAAAAATCACCCTTGTATCCTCCACAATAAACTACAGGAATTTCTGTTTCAGAGCATGCTTTAATATAATCTCAGGGAACATTTTGTCTCTCTTTCTCTTTGGACCAAAGAAAACACAAGAAAATTCCCATTGTTTTTCATCTCATTTCTCAATTACTAGTAAAGCAGCACACCCTTATGCTCAGGCCCAACATCAGTCCATTCACAGGTCAGGGTGTGAATAACACTAATAAAAGAAAGCTTGTGTCATTCGGCTGTGTGTTCTCAGCCTTACCTGTGAACTGAGTAAAGAAAACAAAGTTGTAATATAGGGAGTTGGGAAATGGGGTTAGAGGTGGGATGGAAACATGTGAGATACAATGGTACTCCCTGGCAAGGCGATAGAGCAGACAGGAACTTTCAATATTGCCTCAGCATAATTCAAAGAGTTTCTCTTTTAATATTTAGATGTCTATCAAGAAAAGTAAACACCAGGGCTATTTGGAGTATGCCCGCGATTAAGTCATCTCTCTTGTGCTGGAATCATTCGGAGAACTGGAAATTATCAGCTCGGTAGCATTTTTTTAATAGCTCAGTAGACAAGCAGTTGATTCGATAAATATTTTAAAATAAACCAAGTGAGCGTTATGCATTCATGTCAGTCAAATAATGTGAAAATAAATTGTTAGTCACAGAACTCCACCATATTGGCTGATAAGAGGGAAGATTTTAGGCTTGAAGGTATGTGGGGATAAATCTCCAACATAGGAGTTGCATTCGCTGGAGTTAGAGCAGCAGGGCACTGCTCAGATGTTAGGGCTTACATGTTCAGTTCCAAGATGAAACTGGAAAATAGCCAGCAACAATGAACGTAAATTTCCCAATACCTTGAAAAAGAACAGTAATTTCTTCCAGGTTTATGAAAAAACGTTGGCTTCTCTCAACTTAGCTGGGGTTTCATCTCATGTGGGCTTTAAATATTCTTAAAAGATCGAAAAAACACCCATCAATATATTCAACAAGGAGAGCTGAAGTAAAGCACTGAATGGGGATTGAGCACATGGCCACTGTCACCCCACAGCCTGTGCCCTGCTGAAGTGCTGCTGCTTGCACCGCTGGCTCTGGAGGTAGGAGACAGATTTCTGCATCCAAATGAGCTGTCTCTGCATCAAACCACGGTGTCAGGTTGGGCTTCTTGTTTTGCATGTCTGTTTCTAAAAATATATGTTGTTTGTCAGGATGATGTTGAAAGACAGTTCAGAAAGGCTGGACCTCGGTATAGTCCCAAGGACTGAGCACAGAAATAGGGATGGCAGCTGAGCAAGTCCAAAACTAGCTATTAGAGAGGTCTTGCTCCCTTTCTCAGCCTTCACAGTTTACTTTCCTGCTGCTGACCACAGCTCAGGAGGCTTTATTGCTTCTGGTGGCCTCCATCCTTGAGGCAGTTGCAGAATGTCTCTCTTGAAACATGCCACCTTAAAGAGTACTACATCCCCTGTGCTGATGCAGTCCCATCGCCTCGTCCCCCTCCTCCGCTGCCAAACCTCCCTGCATTGCCTACAGCCAATGGATTTCTTTTTTCTTGATGTGGATGCCACACTCACAAGAAGATAGAGATTGTGTTTGAACTGCATAGTACTTGACATATCTGTATTAATTATACATTATTTTATAGATAGTATATAATCACAAATTATATCTATTCTATTTTTTAGATATACACAATATAATCATATAATAAAAGACACATTTTATGAGGTGCTATTGAGGTCCTGTGCAGACTGTATATTAATTAGATAAAATTACACATAATATTTCTAAATTAAGCTATCTGTGTGATCTTGTATAATTAATATGTAATGTATAATTAGATATAATAGTATACTTAGTTACACAAAAATCATTACAGAATTGTCTTTAATATAAATACCGTAGTTCTGTTCAGACCCAGCTCTCACAAAAGGCCCATGTTAAGTACCCACACAGCAGGGAAGCAAAGCTGGACACTCAGTTTCCCCTCTCAGATTCCCACAAGCCCTGTGTAGACACTGCATGTACCCATTATAAACTTGGGTCCAGGAACCCAACATCTACAGAATTTCACATATTGAAACGTATTCAGAGCCAACAGCATAAAAATCCCCAGCACAACATTTGCCCCAACATGAAACGAGGCTGCTCTGTAAACACAGGGATCTTCCTCTGGTTGGCATGGTTTTTTTTACCTGCTCACATCCTGCTCTGGCTGTTGGCAAAGCAGCTGGAGTTCTTGCAGGACACTCCCAGGGCTGTTTATGTGGTGTTTGCATTTTGCACCCTCTCTCACCTCACACCTATCTGACAGCATGCAAAGGAGCAGCCAAATACTTCTGTGAAACAAGGAAGCTCGGACTGAAATCTGTTGCTGTGATTTTTTTTTAAAGCTTCAGGGAGTAGGAATCAGAGGATCAGTGGAATTCCTCAGAGAGGGAGGAATCAGCTGTATTACAGATTTCTTTTCCTTGCAGGGAGGTGGGAAATAGAAACAGGTGAGAGGAGGGGCTGGGAATTTTAATAAATCCTTCTCTTCTGGCACTAAGTGGCTTTCTTCATGTGTTGGTATCAGGACACGATGCAAAGGCAGCACTAAGCACACCGGCACTCCCATGCTGCGAGTCATGATAACGCTTCATTTGCTGCAAGGTCTGTCAGCAGAGCATTCAGGGTTTGGTTTTGTTTTGTTTGGGTTTGTTTGTTGGTTTGGTTTTTTTTTTTTTTTTTCCAGAAAGAATTAAACATCTGACAAATAATGATAAGGAAAAATGAACTTACAGAGGACGCTAGAACAGCCTTGAAACCCTCCCGAACCACGCTGTTGTGACAGAGTGCATCCTGTGTGTGTGCATGCTTGCATGAGAATTTACTAATACATATAACGTTAATTACCCACTTATGTCCTGAAGCAAGGCTGGGAATGAATTTCAGGAAAAGAGATGTTTGTTTTGTGCGGGCGCCCACATCCCATATACTTTCAGTCCCGAGGAAATTGCCCTGTATCTCCACCCTGTGTGCGCTCGTGCCTGTAGCTGCAGGCAGTGCGCAGGGAGAAGACACGGGAACTTATGGATACCCGTGTACCCCCATTTCTCCCCATCCCACAGCAGGGAAAGCCTGACCAGCAACAAGTCCAGGGTCTATCCGCTGCACCCGCCTCAGCTGAAGCCGTACAGCTGTTGCCTGAGTAGAGAAAGGGATTGGATTTCACAGGCTGTGTAATCTGCGACAGCGCTCTTTTGGCTTGGGGATAGCAACAAGCCTCACCCAGGCTTAGCCATCCCTTTTCTGCCCGTAGAGGAACGCCCCGGTCGACATAGAAGGAAAATTGTTTGCTGAATTTCTGCACAGCCCTCCTTCCAATTGCTGGAGAGAGAGGGGGAGTGAGAGAGTTTAAGGCAGGCTCTGCACTGGTGTTCTGGGCTATTTCAACTTCAGGGCAACTTTAGAGAACTTCAGTTATTTTTGGTAAGTTTTTATTTTTAAAAAACAACCCCCCTCCCCTCTCTCTCTCTTTCTTTCTTTTTAATCTCTGATGCAGATTGCACGAGTTTGCAGGCGATGACGGGCTTTTAAAATTGTGAAGAGATGTGGGCGTGTGTATTTTGTGCCCTTTGATACAGAAACAGGACGTTCTGATTATAAAGATGTAATGTTCCCAGCTGTTGTACTTGATAAGCGAAACCTGAAGATGCTGTGTGTTAAGTGATACCACCAGGGAAAAGCATGGCCAGAGCTTCAGCCAAGGTGCATCCCACCTGGCGTAAAGCTTTGTCTCTTCCTTGGATATGGAAGAAGTGAAATCAGGGATGAACTAATGTGTTCAGCCTGCTAAAAAGTTTCTGATCCACATTCTTAATGCAGGGCTTTCAAGCTTGTGCACTAAGCCTCCTAAATCTTTAAGAGGGATGTTGGTTCTCAGTTCCATACACACCCCTCCATTCAGTAATCTCTATTCCAGATCACGCACGTTGTTTTTCTTACTTCCTCTGTCTGTATACTTAACCCACCTTAGGATCTCAAAGATAGTGAAACTCTCTTTTGCAGTACAAAGAGCCAGTCCCAGCTGTTGCAATGTATTGCAAGGTGCAAACTGCAATTTACTTACAGTGAAGTTGGTTTCTGATGAATATGAAGTTTTTGTTCATTTGTTTTCCACATAGATATGTTTGGATTTTTATAATATTTGTGCTTCTACAAGAGGAATTCTATTTGTGTTAATATTATATCTCGATAGATACCATTTGCATTTTATATATATATATATATATATAATAATATACTGTCTTGGCACTAGACTCTCTGTATGTTAGTTGGTATTAGAGACTGCAATTAACTTTGAGGCATTTAAAAAACAGACCTGTAGCCTTGTCAGCAGAAGTGGGAGCCTGTATGTGTTCACTGCAAGACTGCTCAGGCTAGTTTACAAAGTACTAGGAAATACGCTGGGTAAAATTATTCTATCCACCTGTCTAGGTTCTTTGCTCTATCCGTGCACCTGAACGTGTTTCTGACCGCATGAATGCAGATGAGCAGAAGTAGGATTTGTATCTGTAGCCACCCGTAGAGAGAATGAGAAGAACATGTTCTTAAAGCTTTCATAGAAAAGAGAAAAAACATTACTCACATGAGAGAAAACACCAGAAGTCTACCCCTCTACAACAAAAATAACCAGTCTTTTTCATAATTTATGAAACAAGAAATATAGGAAGTTGGAAGGTGACTCTTAAGAGATACAGTACTTAGGTTATGATCACTTGTTGCATGCACAAGTTAAAACTTCTCAGTATTGCCTTGCTGTATCTCTCACTATAATAAAGAAAAACTTTTGCAGATCCAAGCAAATTAGAGGAAAAGCAGCTCACAACAGCCAATTTACTTCCAAAATCTACCCTATCATAGGTCAAAAATCTAGCATGAAAAATTCTCAGACGTCTAACAGCACGGGGAAGCATCTAACATCTCAGAATTTACTGGGGTTTATTAGCTGTGTTTAAAAACGATAAGTGTGACTGGAACTTTTAATTGCAGTAACCCTATAACAATGGAGTTAACAATAACTCTTCAGCAATAAACTGAAAACTATAAATCTGAGCCAGGCACTCTGCAGTGCTGACACGTTCCATGATGGCTATAGCTTTTCTGTGGAAGCATGTAGATTTGTTAGCTAAAATTGCATTTTACTATCTTTGGTGTGGCAGTCTCATAAAGTAAACTCTACTATTAGATTACGAAGCTTGTGTAAATCTCCGACTGAAGTCAGTTTGACTCCAGTCAGTGCTTGTAAGCAATCCATCGAGGATGGCTGCCTTCCAACCTCCTCTAGAGCGGGTGTTAACGTCTTTTCAGGCGGATGGGGCAGCAGTAATGTCTAGCACTGATTTGCCAGGGGTTTGGAGATGGCACGTATTTTCTGCTTTTAATTGTCTTGGACTCTCAGTCTGTATTCACAACTATGAGGTCAACGTGCCTCTATTCACTTTTGGCTGTACTTGAAGCTCATCACTGAAACAAAATCCAACAGTCTGTAATACACGGTCGGGGGAATAGCTGTGATCTGAGTTAACCTCCTGTTGACTTCAGTGGGTTCAGCCCCGTGCTCGGAGGCAGCCTTCTCTGGGAAGCCACTCCAGGAACTTCCCACGAACTTTACTTAACGTTGACACCACGAGTGGAGTGAGTGGGAAGTACAGCATCAAGATCTTACTGAAGTGTCATGTCTTGTTGGAAGCCACAGGAATGTATATTCCCTTGGTTTGGACCTCTAAGGAATCATGGAGCTTTGGGTTGGTTATTTTTTTTTTCCTCATGTTTTCTATTCAGGCAAAGAAGTCAGTTCATCCTATGCAACTGTAAAACGCTGAGGGATTTAAGTGAGATTTTTTTTCCAGGATTCATCACATCAGGAGACCTAAATAATCAGAATATAAAGCAGTGTATGTGAAAGGTGTGAAAGTTACTGGCTTATATTATGAGTAAATATCTGAACAAATAGATTTAATTAATTTTTAAAATCTAGCTATTTTTGCATTTCATAATGTCCCCCACTTCAGGGAGCAGCAAAATATGCACTGGAAAAATCAGGGTTTCCACCTCTGGAAAAGAATCTCACTGTGTTTGGGAGCTCCGTGTTGCAGGTTCAATCCAAACCAGTGAGGCTGTGAAAGGCTTCAGCGTTAGCCCTGCTCTGAGCGAGGAGGGGCCCTGCCCCTCTGCACCAGCACAGGCAGATGGAGCAAGGGCAAGCTTCTGCTTTCAGACAGTTTGCCATGTCCCTGAGCCCTAGTGTGCGAAAAAACTGTTTTCCTGGCCACATCATCTAACAACTACTGCCTTTCCTGCTTCCTTTAGCTGGAACTCTGGAACTTCCAATCTGCCTAGCAGGCTTTTCCCTCCAAAACCAAGTGGGGGAGCAGCACCAAGAGTAGTGGATTCAGCTCCTGACACAGCTCAAATTAAAGCCTACCAAGACTAGTTTGCCATGTCGCCACATTCGACAGGAATCAGGACAGTGCTCTTGTGGCGAGAAAGATCCTTTGGATGACCTGCAGCTGTGCCTAGCCCCAGCGCAGGAGGATTACAGCTGCGTCTAGGGGAACTTGGTAAATCCCCACGTTTGCTCATCTCACTCCAGATCTTAAGGTCAAGGCTGGAATTCATTATTTTGGATTGGAAAACAAAACTTCAGGCTAGAAGAGGACCTTTCACATACTAAATAATTCCTACCAACATTTTTACTTCCTGAAAGGAGGCTACAGGTAGCCAAATACATGGAAGTAACTGCTGACTTATTGCAGAGAATGGGTCTGCAATTTTCTATCGGAGAAGGGGAAACCATGGGTTCACCATCCAAATCCAACCAAATGTGTAGTCTAGAGTGGCTGGAGGCAGTCAAAATACGTTAAAGTTATTACGGCATGTAAGTAATAAATAAGCCAAGGTTACTGATAGGGTACCCATCTTCTCCCAGTGATGGCAGCTCTGCAAGGAGTCCCAGGCCATGGTAACAGCCCAAATCCCTGTGAAATTCCATGGAGCAGGAATGTGAATGCCTGAAGAAGAGCAGCCACTAAGCCCGCTTCATCTGCCCAATAAAGATAGCAGTGTCTTCAGAGGGCAAAGTTATCTGTTTTTCAAAAACACAAACAAGCAGATAAGGTTTATATGATTTCTAATCCTGTTGATAAATGCTCGAGACTCCAAAGACATAGTAACTGTTCTTCACTGTTGGGCAAATGTTATTTCTTCTCTGTAGTTAAGAGAACAAACACTACTTGATTTTGATAGCAGTGGGCTGTGCCTGACGATCGCAGAGTCGGGGGAGCAGCTGTTACCCATGCAGCCATCTGATTTTAAATACCTTTCTACCTGCCCACTGACCTCTCAGCTCTCCCCCTCGAAGAACAGTATGCTTGTGGTCTCAGGCAGCCAGTGCTGAAAAGTGAAGGTTTCAGTCTGTACATATGTATTCCCTTTTCTACAAGTCTTAGCTAAATACTCTAATAAAATACTCTAGTAAACTACTCTAGATACAGAATCTTCCACCTTGCAGTGGAGTCCTTAAAGCTCACGTATTTTATTAGTCCAGCCATCCCTATCTTTCCTAAGTGTCCCATATTCCATACCAGCCCTAGAAGGCTGATGTCATTCAGCTTTCCACAGGTCACCTCTTCACTTTTCTTGCTGTGTGGTTTACCCCAGCACACAGCCTTTTGACTCTCAGCCAGGCACAACACTCTACTTTTCCCTCGAAATAAGTATCTGCAGGAATTTTTCTTTTCCTTGCCTCATGTCATTCTTACTTTAATCCAAAGAACCAGCTTTAGCAAAATTACTTGCAGAAGTTAATTCCAAAATGGAAATTTTAACATGAAGAAAAAACTCAAAGGACATGCATGCAGGAGCAAAAATCAGTTTGGTAGAGAACAGAAAAATCACTTTTCTACACAACAGGAACTGCTTTAACTGTTTGCATTATATTCTGATGGGGAAAAATGTCTAAGTGGGATTAGGCATCATTACTTAGTTAGAAATCATCTTTTGGTGAACCTCTCTTGATTAGCAGCTCTCCCTCAGATCAGATAAGCATCAAAAGTTTGGGTTGGTCTTTTTGTTTGAAATGCATTTGGCTTTATTGGGAGGCATAAGAACTGGAGAACCATGAAACTATCATGAGAAAGCTGGTGGTTTTGATTGCTGATATTCCTGGTGTGAGACGAGCGTTCCCTATCCCTGCTTCTAAAATCAGCCTGAAAGCAAATAATTTACAAGAACACAAATATGTCATTAAGCATTCCCCACATATTTTCATAGATGTCAGTCGATCTGATTTATTCTTTAGTGAAAGGTTGCATTGATTTTTATATGAACTGTGTTCTCATACTCCTTAAGATCGACTTTTTCACATAATGGGCTTGATTATGAGAAAAAAATATTTTTTGCGCAATGAATAGCTCGGACAACTCAGT